CCGGGGGCTCCATCCCGGGGTCTCATCCCGGGGGTCCCATCCCGGGGTCTCATCCCGGGGTCTCCATCCCGGGGTCTCCATCCCGGGGTCTCATCCCGGGGGTCCCATCCCGGGGTCCCATCCCAGGGTCTCCATCCCGGGGGTCTTCATCCCGGGGTCTCATCCCGGGGGTCCCATCCCGGGGTCTCCATCCCGGGGTCCCATCCTGGGGGTCTCCATCCTGGGGGTCTCCATCCTGGGGGTCTCCATCCCGGGGTCTCCATCCCGGGGTCTCCATCCCGGGGTCTCCATCCCGGGGTCCCATCCCGGGGGTCCCATCCCTGGGTCTCCATCCTGGAGTCCCAACCCGAGGTCTCATCCCAGGGGTCTCCATCCCGGGGGTCTCCATCCCGGGGTCTCCACCTTCCAGCCCATTTCCTCCAAGGACAAAGTGCCACAACGATGCCCCTGGGACACTTTGTCCCTCCAAGGGCGTCTCAGTGTCACCCCAGAGGGGTCGGGCAGGAGGACAAAGGGGTGAAAAACCTTCCCCAACGTGTCCCCAACCCCTTTTCCTTTTGGAGTGGGGTTTATTCCCTGATAATTATTACCAGGCTTTTCCTGACGCCTCCGCTCCCTCAGTGTTCCCGGGTGGAAACGCTTCCCAGAAGCTCCAATGAACCCAAAATTGCTGCTCTTGTGAGGACATTTTAGTGACATTTTGGTCCCAATTCCTTGATTTTTGCTGCAGGATTCTTGGATTCTTGGGGCCCTGGTTCCGTTTTGACCCTGGATGCCAAGAATCTCCTGGTTCTGTTGGTCTCTTAATTCCTTTTTCTTCTTTCCTAGGTTATGGAGACTGGAATTCGGGGACAAACAGAGGCAAGTAGGGTCAGAACTGGAGTAATTTCTTGGCAGGTTGATTCATTCCCTTCCCCTTTGGATCCGTTTCCCGAGGTGGAGGGAAACCCAGCAGGGTTGGGGCTGAGCAGCCACGGAGCTTCTGGAGCCTCTTGCTGTTCCAGTTTCTTCTTTTCCTTCAAAAATGTCACGTCAGAGCCAAACAGGGAACTTTGCTGCTCTCACTGGTTGCAAAGGAAAAGTGGGTTTTTACTGAATATTGGGAAGTTTTGGGGGGATGTTTTCTGACTTCTCAAACCCCAGAGAAGTCACTTGAGGTTTGGGGCAACAGCACAAACACCAATTCCTCCTCCACATGTTCCAGCAGCAAAATATAAAGCCCAGGGAAGGAAAAACCTGGATTTTAAGCCCTCTCAGGCTTCTAAGGGGGTTTGTGTGTTATTCCCACAGTGGTTTTTTGCCTGTTTCTATCAGTTTTGGCCTCTTTAGTGGGAGGAGAAGCTTCTCTGTGTAAACCCAAAGCAGGTTTTAGTGCTGGTTCCTCTCCAAACCAGGTGGGATGGAAGGAGCTGTAGGTGTCGTTGGGGTTTAGGGGGCTTAGAGCAACAAGTTGTTTCCTTAGACCTTGGTGAGCGAAGCAGCTTGAGGTTTGTGGGTGATTAAATAGAAATTTGAGGGAGTTTTTAATTATAACTGCCCTTGGTGGTTGCTTGGGCTGGTTAATCGTGGAATCATGGACTGGTTTGGGTTGGTGGGACCTCAAAGATCATCCAGATCCAACCCCCACCATGCACAGGGACACCTCCCAGCAGCCCAGGCTGCCCCAAGCCCCATCCAACCTGCCCTTGGACACTTCCATGGATGGGGCAGCCACAGCTTCCCTGGGCAACCTGGGCCAGGGTCTCCCCATTAAAATGGCAGCAAAGCCAAATGACTGGGAATCACCCCAACTTTGTGCTCCTCCAGGGTATGAAGGATACGGGTACGGGTACGGGCAGGAGAACTCTGGGAGTTATGGATACAGCCTGGCCACCAACTCCTGGGAAATGGCCAACTCGGACCTGGACACCAACCCCGAGGGCCTGGGAGGTGCTGATGCTATCATGGCCAAGATGAGCCAACGCCTGGAGATGGTGACACCCATGGACACAGAGGCCGTGCCCGGGGGACACTACGGGGCTGGCGGGGACAGGTGAGCAGGGGACACTGGGACAGTTGCTGCTTGGTGACAGGAAGTTCCACCTCAACGTGAGGAGAAGCTTCTTTACTGTGAGGGTGACGGAGCCCTGGGACAGGCTGCCCAGAGCAGGGGGGGTGTCTACATTGCTGGAGGGGCTTCAGAGCTGTGGAGATGGTGCTGAGGAACATGGGTTAAGTGTTGAGGTGGTGGAGCTTGTTCTGAAAGTTGGAAGGGCTTGTCCTTGGAGGTTGGAGGGCTTGTCCTTGGAGGTTGGAGGGGCTTGTCCTTGGAGGTT